ACTCGTTCATTGGCAGTACAGAATTGTTGTTTGGTCAATTGGCGAATAGGGGCAGGAGATTTACAAAAACCTGGTGAATGGTTGGGGCTTATGGAATTTCTAGCTTTAAACTGTATGAATCTACAATCCTTCTTTTTCTTGGTGATGTACCTAAACTTTGCCATGCTTGTGGTGTCCACAGCCAGAGAGTTGTTGGGAGAAGTGGAGGTGACGGTTGAACCTGTTAGCCCATGGGGATACACCAAAGTTGCCTTTTGAATGGGAGAAAGAAGAGACACCACAGGATTTTGGGCTGTTCTTTAGGCTCTCTGGGCCATCTTGGGGATGGGTCTTTTATTGTCCCAGGGGCTGTTTCCAAAATTTGGCCCCTTCAGAATTCGACAGGATGTCTTCCTTGCAGCGTGGCAGCGGGCAACCAATACTAGTCTTGGGGTATTTGGACTATCCAAATATGCCTCATTGGCTCTGGTGAGAGCATGCATGCTTCTGGAAACGAATGGAGCCCCATACTCTTGAACAGTGGCCATTTTCCACACAATGGTTGTCTATTGGGTGTGTTGTATTGGGTGTGTTGTACCATGTTGTGCCATCATTTATGGGGATATACCCTTTGGATCCTCTGGCAATCTGACCAAGGCTGGCGATCCTCACGAATCATCAGCGACTTGGACGGGAGATAGCGTCATGGGTCGAGTCACCCTGGGAACCGGCCCCCCGGATTTTTTTGAACCTCAGAATAGCTGCGAGTTAGGGATGTTCATTCCCCGAAATATTGTATAATTATGTATGTCTAATTATTGGGGTTGAAGCATAGCCATATGATATTCCAAGTCATGTAAGAAAGAAGATGCCCCTTTTCCTAGTGTATGAGAACACAGGGGTCCTACCCTCACTTTGGCAACCAGTAGTGGGACTCCGAGAAAAGAAGCAAACCGGCCCCGAAAGGTGTTTCCCATTTCAGGAGATGCTCTAATCTGGCTAGCAGCCAGCGAAAGATGAACGATTAAACATCCCGTTGTTGATGGGTTGATATAGCGGGTTTATACTAACTGGCTGATGGGAGGATTATTGTAATCCATACTGAGGATACCATATTTACCAACCAGTATGATTGGATGGGATAAAGGCATTTTTTCATGGCTCAAATGATGTTCCTAGGAAGGCTGTGGATTTCCATTGCCAGATATCCAAACTCTGATATGGAATAGTACACTTTCAAGATTGGGTAAACAACGCCGCTATCTACACTGTGTTTGACGGATTGCTGCACTCAGACTGGCGCCCAGCACCGTTCTTTACAACAATTTTTTTAAAATCAAACATGCTCTTGCAAAATGGTCAAATGCGAAGCAAACACCCAAAGCAAAATCCTTCTAGACAAATTATGTACGAGAACCTATTCCAAGATATTAATATCTTTTAAAGAGCCTGTGTAATGGTATCTCCACACAGTCGCTTGAAGGTTTTCTGTACAGGTTCTCGTTGCAAGACCTCTTTTCCAGATTTGCAATCGTTGGAATTACTTTGCTTCGGAAAGGATTTGAAGGTAACATCCGCTAGGTGGCGGAAATTGTCAGGGTCCTGTTCTTTAAGTGTGTGGCCAACATGTTTGAATCAAGAACTTTGCGTTGCACTGCAGGGTTGTAAAACAACCCAACAAGTGCAGAAGGCTATCAAGCTCACGACAGAAATGTAGCAAGTTGCTACCAAACAGATTGTCTAACGCTTGTTTTGGTACAGAACATAGGTTGTTCTGAGGGAAACATACCTTTGGAATCCACAAGGCACTGAGAAAACCACCCAAAAAGCGCCTCGCAACCAACGTAAACAACAAAGTTTGGGTTTGTTCTCGAGAAAACATGGCAATTTTGGAAGCCGTAGATCGAAACGTGCTGAACAAACTGATGTAACATGGAAACCGATTCCGAAGTTAGTTTCCAATCATATCCGCAGGTCTGTTCTGCCGAAGGGCAAAACGTTTCCAAATTTCAGGGCAGAAATCTATTTATCCAGGACTGTTTGTGTTTGTGTTTCCTCTTCTTCTTCTTCTTCTTCATCCTTCTTCGTCTTCTTCTTCGTCACACAAAATCGCACAAAAGGGTGAGTGTCGTTAAACCTGGAGAAATAGAGGGGACTTGAAAACGCTCGGCCAGCTACACACCCATGTCTCTTGACACGGTACCGAGCGAAAAAAAGGATCAAGGGGGAGCATCGCTGTGCAGGTGCCTTAGCACCTTCTCCGTCTCCTCATCCTCCTCCGGTTTCTTCGTCGTAGTTGTCCCAGTAGTTGTCGTAGTTGTAGTTGGTGTCGTCATCGTCGCTGTCGTCATGGTCATTGGCATTGGCATCCTTGTCGTTGGTGGTGTTGGTGGTGTTGCGTCGTTGTTGTTGTTGTTGTTGTTGCTGTTGTTGCTGTTACTGTTGTTGTTGGTGTTGTTGTTGTTGTTGCTGTTGTTACTGTTACTGTTGTTGTTGGTGTTGTTGTCGTTGTTGTTGTTGTTGTTGCTGTTGTTGTTGTTGTTGCTGTTGTTGCTGTTGTTGTTGCTGTTGCATGCTGTTGCAACTTTGGTTTTAAGGCCTGTAACACCCCCTTGTTGCGCTGCCATGGGTTGGCGGATGTGTATAGATATATATTTGTACAATTATTTCAATCTACCTGCAATCACATGTGTCATGTGTTTATACGTTTCAATTGTGAATACACATATATTATATACTTATAGATATATAATTAATTATAAAGTATATTGTGCATGTCTCAATTTGTGTATTATATATAGATGTGTAATTACATATTGTATATAAATACTATATATATATAAATGTATATGCATGCATAATATACATTCCCGTGTATATAGTGACAATATACATGTGTTTCGTGGTAACATGTTCTGAACCTTCATCTTTGTTATTTTCCTGGTAGATCCGTGTCTCTGACTATGCAAATACTTTTCTGGATGTGGACATTTGCGTATGTACCGATATGTGTATATATATATAATTATATATACACATAATATATATATATAATTATAATAATAATAACAATAATAACAATAGTTATATACAATTTTATCGCAGGCAGGATTTCCCCTCACTATTTGGATGGCAAAAACTGCAACCTTTTGCCCAGGAATGGACGTGATACCCACGTGCGGCAGATCAAGGCCCGCAGGATGTTTTTCTCGGTCATGGGACCATGGGATGGTCATGGGATGGTTGGTTCATCCCACTTAGTAACTGGTGAAGCAGCCTGGAAAAGTGGGAGATAGCTCCAATTCAGCGATTTACTGATGGTTTTTTGTCAGGGATAGATTGAATTGATATGAATCAGTTTCTAAGTGGGATGGCTTTTTAAGGGGCTTTTTCACGCTAGTTTGACCAATTGTTTTTCTCTATGGATGAATGGGCGAAGGCGGCTAAGGGATATGAATATTTCACCAGGCTATTTTGGCCCGCCTTTGATTTTGGCCATTTTGGGTGGGTCAAAAAACACAAAAGGATACTTGGTACAAACATGTACAAAGAACTTGTTGGTCAACATTTTGAGTCCTAATTTTTCTGGGCATACTTTCCTCATTTTCATAACATTCGAACTGCACAAAAAGGAGCGAGATCTTGATCCACTGGCTAATCCACTGGCTAACTATCAATAATCATCCCAGCAACCCCCAGCAACCCATCCATTCCCTACGTAAAACGCAGCAGTAAGATTTTCTATCGCTGAAATCCACACAGATCAGCGGCGTTTCTCGTTGTAAATCCTCGACGGTGGTGGTGAAACACCAGGTCCACGGTCCACGACGCCGGGGACATGGTCCAGAGGTCGTCCCGATGATTGGGACGACCCTGCCGGTTGGAAGATTAGTTTCCACTAAAGATGGTTGATTTTCAGGGTCTAAAATGGTAAATTAACATAGACCATAGATATTTATCCTCTTTACTATATGTTTAATTTGATTTTCAATAGCCATATATGTTAATTAACCAGAGGGTAGGTTTGTTTGCAAAACGGATTACCCAACCTGGTAAACTAACATTTTTTTAGCTATTGAAAATGACCATAGAAATAGTGGATTTTCCCATTGAACATGGTGATTTTCAACAGCTATGTTAACGTTTACCAGAGGGTAAAAGCCAATGGTGAGCTTTTGTTGATGGGTTCCACTTGTTGGTTAAGGTTGGGAGTTGTCAACAAACTCCACATGGCAGGGTGGCTTAAAGCTGCAGACGCGTGAGCTGCTGCAGTTCGCGTCTGTTCGTTGAAAATGGTCAGCGCGGCTCGATGGGGCGATTTTCAAGGGCAGCTCAGGGTCCCTGTAATTTCGCGTGGCAACGGGCAACCCCAACTTTCTTTTGGAACACTATGGGATATATATAATATATATATTATTATATTATATTATGGGATATATCTATATCTATATCTATATCTATATCTATATCTATATCTATATATATATATTTATATATGTGGGATATATATATATATGATATATCATCATCTATAACCTGGTCATTTTCCAGCCAAGTCAAACTGGAGGGTAACCAAGTGGGACTCCCTGTAGCAGTAGAATCCACCCATCAGATACATAAGATCCCGTCGACAGGTGTTTGGCTCACCTTGAGTAGCGTCATGTTGAAGGCCATGGTCACTAGCCACTTAGGGGAATGACCATGGCCTAAACCATGTTAAACCATGACCGAAACCATGATCATGTTGAAGTTTGCAACCAAGAAACATGTTAAAGTGCTCAGCAAAGGCGGCAAAGGCAGCAGAAGAAATCACAGAGCTTTGAAGGACTTGAGATGATGCAGAGCAACGCCATGCTGCATGCCTGCCTGTGCTAGCTCAGGAGCCCACCAACGACATCCAATCAGATCGAGTAGCGAAAAAAACAAAAAAAAGCAACAACTCTGGGACCCCATTTATTCAGGGTCCTGCTGAAATCTAGCAGGGCACCTGCAGCCGCACCCGCCGTTTCGCCGGACGCGTCATGGGAAATGTGGGGCTGCCATGCTTTGGCCCAGCGGAGCCTTGAGATACTTTGAGATCACAGACATAGATATTTGATGATATGTGATGATATGTGATGCAATGATACAGTATGTGTGTTTGTAAAGTCTTGGCATGGCTTAGCAACACCTAACTTTAGGCTTCAGATCTTTGTTTTATGCCGTGGGATTGGCACAGGAGGAAGAACAGACTCATTTGTGAGAAAAGACGTTTCTCACATTTTTTTGGATTTTGCCTAACACGCATTGGAATATATTGGAATATATTGGAATGATTTGTTGCTCTTTTTTTCAAAGGAGCGACCGGAATGATTCTAATGATTTTGGCTGCGCAACAAGACCATTCTATCAACTCTGGCCAGGTGGTGTATCCCATGTGGGCAGAATGCCCAATGCTTACCCGGATGGTGATTGTAGGTGCCTTGTCTTATGCAGACCCGAAACTTGGCACCAAGGCCAAGGTGGAAAAACAGCCCCCGAATTTTGTGGTTGAACCATGTCGAACCTTCCAGAAAGGATGATACTGGTGACATTTTTAATAGTAATTTGGCTACGACGCTATGCCCATGGCCCATAGCAGATTCCTGGCGGAGGTTATCCTGCCATGTCCATCGGCCTGCTGGTCTTTGCCTCCGTCTCTGAAGGGACTGCATGGATAGTGGACAGCCTCTTCGATTGCAACCTTGATGCTTGGACTTTTTCTGTGCAAAAACACTGCAACCATCTGCAACCGCTCGTAAAGGCTAAATAGCTGGGAGGAAGTCCAGAACTTTCCGTTGAAAACAGCCTTTTTTGATACTCGGGATGGTTTAACACCTGGTGCAGATTAGAGCATTTTAATAAAAAGGACGTTGGGACCATATCAGCTCAAGATCCAAGCATGGTTTTTGGGGACCATTTTGTTTGGTGGGAACACATCCACCGCCCAGGACAATCTCATGAGCTTGAAGCCGCTCACCAGATCTGGGGGTTGGGCGGGATTTTGGAGTCACAGGGTCACCCAAACTTGGCCAATAGATATATATATACACAATAAGAGTATATAATATACGTATATATAATATATAATATATTATATATATATTATATTATATATAATATATTATATATGATATATTATATATTATATATTATATAATGTCAACCCTGGATTAATAAACCCTTAGGCCGTTTAATTGGGGGGTACCATTTAAGTATTGGATTATCACTATTGGAGGAGTACCACCCTAATTAATAAACTATGGTTTATTAATCCGGGGTTGACATTATATACACACTCTATATCATATATATGCTATACATATATACTATATATAATATAGTATAGAGGATAGCAGTGGCGGAGCAGATACTGTACACTAAGATGTTTTTGAGGTTGGTCTATGTCAAGGCCATGTAGCAAGATATCGTGGCTGATCTCCTGGCCCCACACCCAGTGGTTTGGTTTGCCAACAAGGGGTGTACTAAATTTTGGCCAGTGATTTGGGACCCCAATGAATCTTTTTCATTTTTTTTCTACATACCTAAAAAGACCTTTAAGGACCTTTCAGGTGTGTTTCAGTTGCCATAAGTTGGGTCCCAAGCTTCGGAGCTAGGCTGTGGACGTTTCTCTGGGGGCCTCTCTATATGCCGATGCAAAGTGGCATGGCCTTCTTGATGATCCTTTTCGAGCCCCGCGCTCGATGAAGAGTGGGCCTGGAGTGGTGAAGAATTTTCTGACTTTCTCTCAGATTTGGGCCCTCAAGTATACCAATCATTTGATGGTGCGTTTCGGCATTGTTCCGGGCCCCCGAAAAATTGCACAGGCTCTACATGTCCATGCAGTACTTCCCGTCCCACGAGAAGGAGACGTCGAGTTCAACCCAGTTGCCGTGGTTCTTTTGTGCGGTGAACAAAAAAGCAGGGGTCAATTTCAGAACTTACAAGAACACCACATTTTAATGCAGTATTTTCAAATGCGTGTGTTGTCAGAAGCTTGTATTTGAATCTATTTGAATGCTGAAACCCATGGTTTCCAAGTTTCCCTCTCCAGCGATCACTGCAACATGCCATGCATGCGCAGGAAATGGGTTCTACTGGCTTTCTGGTCTGGATCTTCTTTGTGAACACCGTCACCAGCTGGGGATCCCAGGCTAAGGCGATGCATGTGCCATCAAGGTACAGGTAGGAAATGGTAGGAAACCTTGGGAAGATAGAAAAACACCTGGACTGAATCATCGATGGTTTCGGTGTTCACCAAGTTCTTTGAACCATTCAGTTCCGGACCATCGCAAGGGCGTCGCAGCTCTACCTTTCACCCTCTGCTGATCTGCGGAATTCCAGCATCGGTGGGCCCTTCCAAAGGGTTACCCACAGTACCCATCCTTTTTTTGGTTTACTATTATTATGATCATCATGGTTATTACGCTGATTATTGTTGCTATATTATTACTATTATTACTATAATATTATTATTATTAGTAGTACTATTGCTATTACCATTATTACTATTATTATTGTTATTGCCACTACTACTATTTCGTTAAATTCGTCTACCACAACTACTAGAGCCAAGGCTAGCAACCAATATCCCTGCTGAAACCACCCAAGCCTGGAGCAGACGTACTAGATTTCAGGTTTGGTCTTCTTGGGCATCCAGTCTGGCACTCAGCCCCCCAAGTTGCAGAGGATGGATCAGGATGGACAGTTCTTAAAGGTCCTTGTTACAGCGCCAGCATTCCAGGCTGTTTGATCAGCCGTTGGTTTTGGACCCAGGACATTCCAGGACTCTCCGCTAGTCACTAAGAGTTTCTTCAATGGAGAGCCTTTGGTTTCAGATCAAAATTGACCCAGCATGTGTGGGCCGTAGCTCGTAGCTCATAACCTCAGTTCAGTCCCTTTTAACCCTGCTTCACGCTTATAGGATCTTATAGGTAGTTCCAACCTTTACACAAGTGTCTGCTCACAGGCTCACAGGTGATAGTTGGGTCCAACAACCGACTTGACACTCACCGGACCCAAAAACGAAAAAAACAACGATTAAACTCTCAGGAAAAATCCATGAAACCACCTCGAAATAAGATGAAATAAGCCAATCCACCAATCCACAGATGCCCTAAATTTGAGCTCCATCGAGCTCCAGCAACGTGGCGTGGAGGTTGTGCACCCTGCTCTACTATCACCTAAGCGGCAACGTCCTGGGCGAAGCCTTTACCCGAGCCAGCGGCCTTCATGGGTGGGCCTGGGGATGGGTTGGGATAGGGCCCAGATCGAAGAAAGTACGAGCAGGAATAGTGGGCACGTGTTGCAAGAGCTGTACCATGCTGTACCGTCAGGTGTAGTCAGTATGATAATGCTTTTTTGCACACATGTTCAATGCATGATTTTTGGCTATTTTTGGAACACTGAGAAACCCACCAGCCATGTTCAAGACCAAACTTGATGTTGTGCAGGGCAGTCAACTCAATTTGCTCCGTTGCCAATTCGAAACATCATAACATTTTATTTTGTCATGCCATGGGAACCTTGGCATTTTTCACGCACTTGACAACCTGACAGCAGCCTTTGCATTGGTCACTGCGTTGACGGCTGCTGACTGTGAAGAGAATGATCTTTGTGATGAGGCCTCACTGGTGACTTTAAAGAAAGAGTTTGCCATTGCGAATGTATCGGGATCTGATACTGTGTCGTTGAACATCGTGAATGCGGAGCCTGTGAACGTCATGGTGTTTTAGCATTTGTTTGTGAAAGATTTGGAGGACGTCCTTTACAAATTGCTTTGAATTTACTTAGACTTATACAAATTCTTTTTTCGTGGTGTTTTACAGTTTTAGAACTAAAAACATTACAATTTATTTAGAACCATTTGTTTACACATTGATTACTATCATTGCTATTGTTATCAATTAGTTTAACTATTAAAAAAAACACACACAATATATTCATTTATTTTTTAAGTTTTTTTTTTTTTTTTTTTTAAATTCCCATTTGTAGGACATGGACCGAGTCCTTGGCATCGTTGAGAACCAGCCACAGATTCCCACGTCTTCGCGGCATCGGAGATCGTGGAGATCCAGTGAAAAAATCCATCGGTGCTCCAGTGACGCATGGTATGTTAACATCAACATCATCATCATCATCATCATCATCATCATCATCATCATCGCCATCATCGCCATCGCCATCATCATCATCATCATCATCATCATCATCATCATCATCATCATCACCATCATCATCATCGCCATCATCGCCATCATCGCCATCATCGCCATCATCATCATCATCATCATCATCATCGCCATCATCATCATCATCATCATCATCATCATCATCATCATCATCATCATCATCATCATCATCATCATCATCATCATCATCATCGCCATCATCGCCATCATCGCCATCATCGCCATCATCATCATCATCATCATCATCATCATCATCATCATCATCGCCATCATCGCCATCATCGCCATCATCATCATCATCATCATCATCATCATCGCCATCATCATGATCATCAACATTTTGTGCTATGTACAACGTTGTAACAGTCTATATAATAGTATCGTGTATATATATATACATACACATACACATTTTTTGTTCATGTTGTAATATATATATGTATATATATATATATATACGTGTGTTGTATCGTACGTTATGACCTTTATGTCTTATAGGTTTTAACCAACATGTACAATATATGTCACATTATCGAAACATATATTTGTTCGAATCTTTGCATAATCTTCCACCTTATTCACTTTACACTATATGTATACAGTATTTACACATGTTATGATTTGAAATTTCACATTTTATGTGGGACAGCAAAATGAGGTGAATAAGTCACATTGAAAACGAACTATGGAGTCTTGTTTTATCATTCTTTTATCCATTGAATTGTTGACATATTTTGTATATTTTGAACAATTCTTTCCATTTTGCAGCAAGGATAATTTCCGATCTCAACTTCTCCCCAGAGCTGGAAGAAAGAACTAAACTCTCGGCACATTACACTGAAGGATGGGAAAAACCACGCTGCATGATCTTTGGTCCTTTTGCCGGGAGAAAAACACCGATCCCAACCAAGTCGTTGTCTATTTACATTCCAAGGGCTCAAAGTCGACTCATTCTCAAGAAGTCAAAAGCCTGCAGAGTGCTTATGTTACAACAGGTGCTGAACCCAGGAGTGCCTTCACATGCCAAACGATTGCAACATATGTTCCACCAGAATTACTCGCAAACACCTGGGAACATGTGGGCTGCGCGCTGTAGTTATGTTGCTCAACTGAAAGACCCTGACACTTTTGACAGAGACATGTTGCAAGTCCAAGATGGCCAGAAAGCAACGATGTCAAAATGCCAAGGGACTGATCGTTATGCAGCGGAGCACTGGGTGTATTCACATCCAGCAGCACCTTGCGACTTGGACAGCAACGTGGACTACACCACAGCGCTTCAAATCGTCCTAGATCCTCCGAAAGGACCTTACACCAAGGAGTTGAAGAAGGCACCGCGTTTTGAAGTCACGGCATACCATTGGACGAGAGAGGATTGCAAGGCTGGGGCGAGACTTTGTCGAGATGCCTTGCGCAATATCGCGTCCTCTATGGTACAGAACCGGCAGCAGATTGGTGGGGCTGGATTTTTTTCACGCCATCCTGAACAACTTTGGGAGATCAAGCGCCACTCAAACACCGCTCATTGAAGACATGCTCACAGGGACAAAAAACTGAGCATCAAGCGGCAGCATTCACATTGTGAAACATCTTGAAACAATGGAAGGTATCGTGAAATATTGTGAAACATCTTGAAACAAGAACTTGTTCTGACTCTGAGGTGAGTGGCTGAGTGACTCAGCAGTTTGGATATTTTGACCTTGCTACCTTTTTCAACATTATCTTCATAGTACCTTTGTCAACAAAATCTGGTGTTTGAAATTGTGTTTTGTCAGTTCTGTCAGTTTTGTCTATGTTTGCCACTAGTGTTGTGATTTGAATTTGTTGTTTTTCAGACACAATACGGCGGGTTGCCTGTGTGAAACATCCTGTCATCATAATCTTCAAAACATGGTTTCAAGGCGATTTGGTACCGTGATCCAATGCACTGTGGTGATTCACTCACATTGCAAGTTACAAGGATATTCACGGGGGTAAGAGCAGCCAACCCTAGGAGAGGGACCGGAGTGCTCAGCAAGGTTTTTCGGCCAAAATTGAGCACTGACTCGCTGGCCAACATTGGCCCACTTTTGTGGCCATTTTTAGGGTTTTACATTGCATCACCTACTGCAGTTGGGATTCAATCTGACATACAGCCAGCCTGCCTTTCGTTAAAGGTTCAAACTGGAACCTCCATTCCCCCAGAGGGTCCCCCCAACAATAGGGGCTTAAACAGTTAAGAAGCCAAGTCATAAGGGTTGCTGGTGGTTGACACATGACGTTTATCCGATTATCCATAAGGCCATAGTGGCCTGTGGAGGGGTAACTTCTGAGGGGAATCCAACAGCACTTGTTACACCCTGAAAGCAACCAACCGCCTGCCAATCATCGGTATCGATTGCTTTATTGGTGCAGAATGATAGGTTTGGGGGGTTATACCGTATGTTACATCCCAACTTATGGGGGTTATTGCCATAGTTATAAATGCATTTATACCCATGTTTTCCACCTCAACTGCACCCCCAAGTTTGAGCAGTTTGTGTGTTTCATGGCTCGCAGCGACCGCAGGTTGTGGCCGTTGATCATGGTCTAGAGCTTGGTCCTGGGAGAGCGGCACCACGATGCTGGTCTTTAGTTGGTCAGGTTTGCGTCACATTGATCAGGTAGGTGATTCCTAGATCTTAGTTTTTCTTCACCAAGATCAGTCTGTGAAATTCTGTTTTCTTCGGTTTTCAGCTCATTCTCTCAGCATTCCGAATATCCATATTCTCCTTTGTGGAAGAATAGCTTTAACATTTGCGAAGACCATCCATGTGATCCACCGGTGGATCCCCAAAAAAATCGGCAACCTTTCTTTACCCCGATGGACACGAGAAACCCCATGGCTCGGAGGTGTGTCTAACCTTGACGGCCTTGAGCAACCCCGATGGTAGCACCAACTTTTGGGGCATGGTATGGATGCCCAGGATGTGGCTTCCGTGGGTTATACATTACCAGTGGTACAGAGTCAATCAGAGTCATGAAACGTGGAAAATTCCGAATGCTCTTTTGAAGAGGGGTATAAATCGGTATAAAGATGAAGGATCTACGAATCCAATCGCCACCTGGTGGGATTGGGGGGATTGGTGGCAATTGCTGGTCTCAGGTTCAGATTCCAAACAAGTCAGCACCTCAATTTTTGGGGTTCCCATGGGTCCCCGATCGCTGGGACGAGACAGGTGGGATCTGGGACCCTGGGACAAAAAACCGTCCGGTCGACGCCATCCGGCGGGAGTGCAATCATTTTCATACTCTGGTACTATGTAGTTGACTATGTTGACTAGCTTTGAACTAATTTACATTAATTTACTAGTTTCACTCATTCAGGTTTAGACTAAAGTAGACCATCTACTTTAGACATTCAGGTCGACGAAATCCAAGATCTTGGAAGTCACAATCCTTTGGATCTGATTCCGATTCCACCGCCGAGGTGGTACCCCATCGCTTTGACTGCCTTCTTCATGTTGCTGAATGGCTTTCGGATCATGTGGGTCAGACTGGCTTGTGACATCACCATAGGGACACTGGGATTTGGAGAGTAGGAATGCAACTCTTGCGGCGCCTAAGTTTGACCTGCACCATCCATCTCAAGTATGATTTATTTTCAAAGTCAGGGAGCTTAATCAGCTCACATAGTGACATAGTGCATCTGAAATGTTTCTCCTTTTTCAGGCCCCTTGATATTGGTACCGTTGTCCAGATTATAGTATACAGTTCCCGGAAGTTGGTAAATGGCTAGCAACATGACTCAAAAGTGGTATGTCAAGCATATCTCTCACTCTCACTTTGAGTACAATAATATTGACAATATTGGTGCCCTAGATACTAGTTAGTAAGTACCATATGTAGAATTCACTTCGCTGAAGCAAATATGTTATTTTTATGATGTAGGTAGTGGTTATATCCTGATGGTCCATGGCCTGGCTGCCATCAGAACTTCATCGCCGCCCTGGCCGTGGGCTATGCCTACAAGAAGTTCCGCGAGAGGACTCGGTGCTGGAAAAGATTGGAACTGGTCAGTGGGCACCGAGCACACTTCAAACATTGGATACTTTGGACTGAAAAGAATCACAATCACAATTTTACCTTGACTAAAGTAAATCACATTTTCGCCGCATAGTCTCTACAACCTACATAGGACAGGTTTGATTACATTTCGCAGCCTTCCGAAAAGCCCACATGCAGCACCCCTGCGACAATCAACCAAATTCATCAAACATCACCAACAAATCACAGAACATCATTTTAGGATCACTGAAAAGATCACCCAAAAAACACTTCATAAACTTCAAGGAGATCATTAGCACAACGCCCAGGCTTTGAAAGGATTTTGCCTTCCAAGACACGCCTGGATCGTTTGGAGCAGCGCTGCTGCAGAGGCCTCTCCCTTTCACAACTTGGCGTGTGCCATGGATCGGTGAATATCGCTACCATTAAAACGATAAATGGAATGAACATCCATTTGCCAGCTGAACATTTTGAAAGCAACAGATTTGGCCACCAGGCCTTTAAGGATTTCCAGATCTGCGCCGAATCGTTTCTATTTCCCGGGATTATTAGCAAGGACCTGTCCACCGTTTCCCCATGAATTTCCCCATGAGTTTCCTGAAAGATGATCATCGCTCAGGAGGCCGGTGTAGTCTGCTGGGAACTTCCTGGGTGTGGGGCCTGAACGTGGGCTTGGCGCCTTTATGGAGATGGGGAAGACCCCAAAATGGCATGGTTCAAAAGTTCAAAACACCATGTTCGCATCAAAATGACAAGTTGGGATATACCCCCTTTTTGGACAAACCATGGAGAAGTGACAAACCCAAATGTTGGTCCCGGTACCCTTTGGTTTGTCAAGGCTTGGAGAAAGCCTTTGCTGATGGCAAATGGTTTCCAACAGCCTCAACGAATTAGCTGGGCCTGATTGCTTCCACCACTAAAGCTGCGAATTCTCGGACTTGGACAAGGAGGATGAATTGTATCATATTGTATCCCAATCTTTGGAACAGCTGGAAGCATGCCACTGGAGACGTGTCTCAAACAACGACCAAAGTTCTGTTTATTTGGCAATGTGGTTCAAACATGTTCAAACATGTTAAATTCATTAAACCACCTATTTTTCGATGAATGTGATGACTGGGGGCTGAGCTTTACTAACTGTTGTAGCCACATCCCGTTCGTGAATGACCACCATTCCCGTTGGTTTTTTGCTCCTGAGATCCCTGCGTCCTCCAGCGCATCCTTCGACGTGGATGTGCAGCTGGATCGCCGTCCCTAGGTCAGTTCATCGTTCCAAAGATGGAGGTCTCTTACCCGGCCTGGTCAACGTTAACAAAAAACTATGGAACATCACCCTTTTTAATGGGAAAATCCACTATTTCTATGACCATTTTCAATAGCAAACTGTTAAATTACCAGAGGGTAACATGGGGGATCCCCCGTCACCATGAGTTTCAATACTCAGAAAACTTGTCTCTCATGTTGGATGAAAAAAGGGGTCCTCCCCATTTTAGGAAACGTCCATTTTGGTCCTTAGGTTAGAAGACCCCCAGAAACAACCTGCAGAGATGTATGACCGAGGATGGTATGAAGACCCATTTTGGTACTACGGCAATGGTCGAGTTGAATAGACAATGATAGCCATAGCCCAAAACGGGGGTTTCCCAAACCCAGCTGATATTATAGTTACTTTGTCTATTTTGAAAGATTTTGGATCATTTCCCATTGATTTGGTTGCTTCATAGTCACCCCAGTTTGATGTGCTCCATTTACGTAGCCTCAAAATGAGAGCTGTAGATATCAAAAAGCAAACCTCTGTAGATCATGTTCAACTGGAAATCAGTTGACCAGATAATTATATATATAATATTATGTATATACGAACGTTCTATATGTATATACATGTTCACATATCCATATACATACATACATCACATTACGTTGCATTATATGACATGACCTGACATCACATCACATCACATCACATCACATAGAAACATACATACATACACACACATATATATATATGTATATATATAATATAAACATTATTTGAGACACACACACACATACATATGTATATATATATACATACATACACACACACACACATTCCACGCCATTTGAATACCACCATTTGTAAACGCAGGGTTTTTACACCTCATCTTCGAGGTTATCGCAACTTCTCAGATCTTGGAGACGATCGTGCGTGGCTGGTCGAATGACGGTGCTGCGGGTTGCTGGTTGCGATTTCCGTTGTCACGATAGCCATTTGCTGGCAAACCCATTGATGTAGAATACAAAAATCCCATTGTTCATGTTTGGTTACACCTTAGTTGGGTCATGTTGGGTCGCTTGTGCACGGCCCTTAGCCTGCCACGTGGTTTTGTGCACATGGGTACAGGGTTTGGCGTGGGGTAGGGTGGGCTATTGACATTCGTTTGTATTTGCGCCTGCACTTGATGCTAAGCTGTTTACTTTCTCTCTTAACTTACACACGCATGTAATGCTATGCTCTCAACTTTCTATCTTAACTCACACACGCAAGCACTTGAAGCAACAAATAAACCGTAATTCCACGGTACTGAAACTCTACAAAGACGTGATGATTTGCTGCAATCAAAACAGAGGCACGCTTGTAGCTAGGCTATTGCTACTAGATACATGATACGCAACACCAGAAACAAAAGCACACTTCATGCCACGACAATGGTACTTTGCTACAAAGACTACATATCACATCGGTGATGGTGTCAAGAAGTGACGTTTATATACTGTAGACTTGAAAAACACATTTTTAACTTTTTCACAACGTCTAAAGTTCCAGTATTTAGATCAATAGAATGGGCTAGCGCCCGGGTGCCGCCGACCCCCCCTATTTGGGGGGTCCTGCAGAGAGAGGGAGAGAGAGAGATAGATGGATGGATGGATGGATGGATGGATGGATAGATAGGTAGAGAGATAGAGAGAGAGAGAGATAGACAGATAGATAGATAGACAGTTGGATAGACAGATAAGTAGATGGAGAGATAGATGGATAGATAGCTGGATGGATAGATAGATGGATAGATAGATAGAGAGGGAGAGATAGATAGAGGGGGAGAGAAAGATAGAGAGGGAGAGATAGATAGATAGACATTGATGTGTGGCAGCTACCCGTGTAATGCTTTGCAGCTACCCGCTGTACTGCTTTGCTGATGCTTCCCCGGGGAATGGGGCAATTCCAGCAGTGGTTACAGACTTGGTCACCATTGCAAGCAAGACATTGCGCCAGCCACGGTTGTGCCTGGTGGCTGCAGGATGAAGCATGCCAAGGGATTGTTTAAGCGGCCCATAAGAAGCCATTGATGTGTGGCCTCGGGGTGGCTGTTGGCTGCAGGATGAAGCATGCGAAGTCAGCGTTTTAAGGTTTTTAAGGGTTTGGAGGGTTTGGAGCGTTTGGAGGGTTTGGAGGGTTTGGAGGGTTTTAAGGGTTTAAGGGCTGGCAAACGGCAGGCTTGGACGCCCATAAGAAGCCATTGATGTGTGGCCTTGGGGTGCCGGTTGGCTGCAGGAGGAAGCATGCCAAGGGATTGTTTAAGCGGCCCATAAGAAGCCATTGATGTGTGGCCTCGGGGTGGCTGTTGGCTGCAGGATGAAGCATGCCAAGTCAGCGTTTTCAGGGTTTTAAGGTTTTTAAGGGTTTGGAGGGTTTGGAGGGTTTTAAGGGTTTAAGGGCTGGCAAACGGCAGGCTTGGATGCCCATAAGAAGCCATTGATGTGTGGCCTTGGGGTGCCTGTTGGCTGCAGGATGAAGCATGCCAAGGGATTGTTTAAGCGGCCCAGAAGAAGCCATTGATGTGTGGCCTCGGGGTGGCTGTTGGCTGCAGGATGAAGCATGCGAAGTCAGCGTTTTAAGGGTTTTAAGGTTTTCAAGGGTTTGGAGGGTTTGAGGGTTTGGAGAGCTTTAAGGGTTGAAGGGCTGGCAAACGGCAGGCTTGGACGCCCATAAGAAGCCATTGATGTGTGGCCTTGGGGTGCCGGTTGGCTGCAGGAGGAAGCATGCCAAGGGATTGTTTAAGCGGCCCAGAAGAAGCCATTGATGTGTGGCCTCGGGGTGGCTGTTGGCTGCAGGATGAAGCATGCCAAGTCAGCGTTTTAAGGTTTTTGGAGGGTTTGGAGGGTTTGGAGCGTTTGGAGGGTTTGGAGGGTTTTAAGGGTTTAAGGGCTGGCAAACGGCAGGCTTGGACGCCCATAAGAAGCCATTGATGTGTGGCCTTGGGGTGCGGTTGGCTGCAGGATGAAGCATGCCAAGGGATTGTTTAAGCGGCCCAGAAGAAGCCATTGATGTGTGGCCTCGGGGTGGCTGTTGGCTTGGCTGCAGGATGAAGCATGCCAAGTCAGCGTTTTAAGGTTTTTAAGGGTTTGGAGCGTTTGGAGGGTTTTAAGGGTTTAAGGGCTGGCAAACGGCAGGCTTGGACGCCCATAAGAAGCCATTGATGTGTGGCCTTGGGGTGCCTGTTGGCTGCAGGATGAAGCATGCCAAGGGATTGTTTAAGCGGCCCAGAAGAAGCCATTGATGTGTGGCCTCGGGGTGGCTGTTGGCTGCAGGATGAAGCATGCCAAGTCAGCGTTTTAAGCGTTTTAAAGGTTTTTAGGGTTTGGAGGGTTTGGAGGGTTTTAAGGGTTTAAGGGCTGGCAAACGGCAGGCTTGGACGCCCATAAGAAGCCATTGATGTGTGGCCTTGGGGTGCCTGTTGGCTGCAGGATGAAGCATGCCAAGGGATTGTTTAAGCGGCCCATAAGAAGCCATTGATGTGTGGCCTCGGGGTGGCTGTTGGCTGCAGGATGAAGCATGCCAAGTCAGCGTTTTAAGGGTTTTAAGGTTTTTAAGGGTTTGGAGGGTTTGGAGGGTTTTAAGGGTTTAAGGGCTGGCAAACGGCAGGCTTGGACGCCCATAAGAAGCCATTGATGTGTGGCCTTGGGGTGCCTGTTGGCTGCAGGATGAAGGCCAAGGGATTGTTTAAGCGGCCCAGAAGAAGCCATTGATGTGTGGCCTGTTGGCTGCAGGATGAAGCATGCCAGCAGGGTTTAAGAACGGCAGGCTTTAAGAAGCCAGCTGCATGCCTGGCCTGGCGGGGTGGCTGGCTTGCATGCCAAGTGCGTTTTAAGGTTTTTAAGGGTTTGAAGCGTTGGAGGGGTTTTAAGGGTTTAAGGGCTGGCAAACGGCAGGCTTGGACGCCCATAAGAAGCCATTGATGTGTGGCCTTGGGGTGCCTGTTGCTGCAGGATGAAGCATGCCAAGGGATTGTTTAAGCGGCCCAGAAGAAGCCATTGATGTGTGGCCTCGGGGTGGCTGTTGGCTGCAGGATGAAGCATGCCAAGTCAGCGTTTTAAGGTTTTTAAGGGTTTGGAGGGTTTGGAGCGTTTGGAGGGTTTTAAGGGTTTAAGGGCTGGCAAACGGCAGGCTTGGACGCCCATAAGAAGCCATTGATGTGTGGCCTTGGGGTGCCTGTTGGCTGCAGGATGAAGCATGCCAAGGGATTGTTGAAGCGGCCCATAAGAAGCCATTGATGTGTGGCCTTGGGGTGCCTGTTCATGCCAAGTCACCGTTTTAAGGGTTTTAAGCGTTTTAAGTTGTAAGCGTGGTCAATGATTTGAACTGCTACTACAGGAATGCGGGAACGGCTGCTTTGGGCTTGAAAGACAAAACCTTCAGACAAAACCTTCCGGAGTAAAACTTACTTGCCCAAAGCATGTAATTTTCATGTCCAAATGCCTGGAAGTCTTAACTGGAGGACGAAGCATGCCAGGAAAATGTTTACGCGATGTGGCCTTGCGCCGGCTGGCTGGCTGCGAGATGGGTTTGACCTTGGAAAGCGAAGAAGGAGCCTTGAAAGACAAAACCTTCAGACAAAACCTTTCCGGAGGAAAACGTACTTGCCCAAAGCATGTAATTTTCATGTCCAAATGCCTGGAAGTCTTAATGGAGGACGAAGCATGCCAGGAAAATGTTTACGCGATGTGGCCTTGGGGCAGCTTGCTGGCTGCGAGATGGGCCAAGGGATTGTTTAAGCGGCCCAGAAGAAGCCATTGATGTGTGGCCTTGGGGTGCCTGTTGGCTGCAGGATGAAGCATGCCAAGGGATTATTTAAGCGGCCCAGAAGAAGCCATTGATGTGTGGCCTCGGGGTGCCTGTTGGCTGCAGGATGAAGCATGCCAAGTCAGCGGTTGAAGGGTTTTAAGGTTTTTAAGGGTTTGGAGGGTTTGGAGCGTTTGGAGGGTTTGGAGGGTTTTAAGGGTTTAAGGGCTGGCAAACGGCAGGCTTGGACGCCCAGAAGAAGCCATTGATGTGTGGCCTTGGGGTGCCTGTTGGCTGCAGGATGAAGCATGCCAAGGGATTGTTTAAGCGGCCCATAAGAAGCCATTGATGTGTGGCCTTGGGGTGCCTGTTCATGCCAAGTCACCGTTTTAAGGGTTTTAAGCGTTTTAAGTTGTAAGCGTGGTCAATGATTTGAACTGCTACTACAGGAATGCGGGAACGGCTGCTTTGGGCTTGAAAGACAAAACCTTCAGGCAAAACCTTCCGGAGTAAAACGTACTTGCCCAAAGCATGTAATTTTCATGTCCAAATGCCTGGAAGTCTTAATGGAGGACGAAGCATGCCAGGAAAATGTTTACGCGATGTGGCCTTGGGGCAGCTTCCTGGCTGCGAGATGGGTTTGACCTTGGAAAGCGAAGAAGGAGCCTTGGGGCAGCTTGCTGGCTGCGAGATGGGTTTGACCTTGGAAAGCGAAGAAGGAGAAGTTCCACACCTGCGGTGGTCCCAGGCGCCGCCCCTGCCTTGGCCAAGGCCGGGGTCGGCGGATCTTTTGCCAATGGGGAATATAGTCGTGCCCAGCCAAAAAAACCCAATATTGTGCACATCTGCAGGGTATGACATGCTGTGACACCTGAGGAGTGCCCCCGCTGCAGGCGGTTTCGTGGGCTCAGTCGTCGGATCGACTGGGCACACCTAAACCCCCAACATGGCCATCTCAATTAGGAAACTCATCTTCCAATTGGGTTCCATGTTGGTTTTCACTTGGGGATTTGCAGGACTTTGCCATCGATACTAATTTGGATACAGTTAAAAAATGGTAGCGATACAAAAAAGCAAGAGTTTGTACCCTAAATCATGGAAAAACCTGAGCAGCACGATTACCAGCCGTTGTGCTGTTGCGTGACATTGGTCACTTTCGAAGGTGTGATGAGCAGATTGTGAGCATCCCATTTTCCTGACAACCTCAGGGTCCTCACAGATGTGGGTGGGTAAACAATTGCGCTGTAGTTTTCATACTGCAATTCTATGCAATTGTCTTGAAGCTATTAACCGGTAAATGGATAGTACCCTTCTGACAACTGGGGTAGAGACGGTCAATTATCATCCATTTAGAATTTATATAGATCATTTTTCATCTTCAGGGATATTATCACAGTTGGAACGCCAAGCCCCTTGGGCCTTCAACCATTTCAGAAAGGTGGGACCACGGGCGGCACTTCGGGTCAGTTCGTGGTTGGGGGGCCCGGTGATGCAGCGTTCCAAAAGATCTTCAAAGGGAGTGGGTTCCTACGTTTCCTCCATCACAAAACAACATGTGGGTGTGTCTGAAAATAGTGTACCCCTAAACCCAATGGTTAATGATCATTATCCCTATTAAATGGCTATAATTGGGAATATACCCTATTTTCAGACAAACCCATGTTTAGGAGGAGATTTTCTTGGGTTCCGCTTTCGCGCTTCTTCTTTTTACGGCACTATCCTTCCTGCCTCTGGTAATCAAACATGGCAATGGATTTCCACTGGAACATGGCCCATTGATCGATGATTTTCCCATGAACCACCTCCATTTAGTTCGGGGATTTCCCAGCCATGTTTTGCTTTCAGCGGCCCCTTTTCCAACAGCAAGGTGGACATTGTCCCTGTTGTGGTTTCTGCTCCTTTTTTGGAACAGAAACATGGAATAAAGATGATGAACCAGTTTGCAAGAGAAACACCATGATGTTGTTTTTGCATCTATATATCTCCATAACATTCCATAACTATACACACAAGCTGGGACAAGCAGGAAAGCCTTATATTTGGAGTAAGCCTATGGTTTGCTGAGTTTGCTGTTACTTTTTTCAACCAATCCATTCATTACATGCAGGTTTTCATGTGGGTTTGTTGCCAGATTGCTTACACAAAGCATCAGGAAATGCTGGTACATATGGGCTTTCCCTGCATTTTTTTCCTTGAACAATGCTTATATATACGTAATTATATTATATATATATATATCCCTAGATACTATTTAGACCCCAACATGTATTTTGCCTTTGTGGGACGCAACCCCCAATGTGGCTTACCGCGCTTCCTCATTTTCGGATGGCCATTTTGGTGTTTGTCATTGTAAGTCTCCAATACTGAGACAAAGGCAAATCACAGTATGTATATGTATATATCATCCTATAAAATGTCATGTTGTATTTATATGTCATACGCAATTGTAGTCTCAGGAGTAGTAAGTAGAAATGAATAGAACACACGCCACTTCACATTGTGTTGTTCTTTGTTCAAATTGCATTACATGATATTGCATAGTACTATTACTATAACATACTATACTAAATCAACTTATTATGTTGATTAGTAATAGATTGCTGTACTATACTACAAACGCTGAGTTGTATATATACATCATTTTATTTGATATTATATTATTATGGTTTATTATTTTATATCGTATTATATTGAACTATATTATATATATATTGCATTTTGATTTTATTGTAATGTATTAATATCATTCATTATTATAGTGTTTTTTTGGTACTGTATAATATTCTATTTTGTTCCTTTCTTTTCTTTCCCATTGTCTTATATTTTGTCATATTATATCATATTGCATCATATTATATCATATTATACTATTTTACATTATACTATATTACATTATATTTTATTATATGTTATTTTCTTTAATATTATATATATTGCATATTTATTACATGTGATGTATTATGTACTATGTATTGAAATACATTATTCATGGTATGTCTACACTCACCGAAGAATAATGTATTTATATGTATTTCAATACATAGTACTATCATATGTATTGAGTTCTACATTATTGATGGTATGTCATTTATGTATATAAATTTATTATTGATGCTATGAAATACATTATTGATTATTGATGGTTACCTCTGGTAAACTAACATAGCTATTGAAAATTGCCATTTATTGTGGATTTTCCCATAAAAAATGGTGATTTTCCATAGTTATGTTAAATTACCAGAGGGTATATTCCATACATCCCGAAGAATGCACCACTCACCAGTTCCGTGTGATCTCAGGCCTTCGGCGGCTCCGGCAACCGCTTGGGCGAGAGCACCGAGATGACGGAGGTGAAACCTACCCGAGGGGTAGTGGAAACACAACCCCCGTTGGCAACGGTTGATTTCTAGGAGAGTTATAGTTATAGAGTATTTATGGGATTTATATGGATCTATGATGATTTATGGGACTTAATTATCGTTTTTTTGATGTTTTTTGCTTCTTTTTTACGGGGTTATATGGATTTATATGGATTTATAGGGTTTTAAAGCATCAAAATATGGGGATGTAAGTGGATATAATTGATTTATAAGGGATTTATATGGATTTATGATGATTTATGGGGCTTTAATTCTCAAACATATTGGGATATAAGTGGATAGGATATACCTGATAAAGGATGGTTGGTTGATGATTTGTTCGCGAATTTCACTATCATTTGTTCATCCAAAATGTGCTGTTTTTAATCGGACAACCAGTGGTGACTTGGGGTCCCCCATTTTAAGAAGCAACCATAGGACCATACCATATTTCCACGAGAACAGGGAAATCATCGAACAGTGATATCAGGGTTGCTTACTATATGGTATGGTTGATATATGATGATATTTGTAAGCAACCCTGATATCACTTTCCACGAGAACAGGGATGACCTGGGGCACTGGTATGGATCGTAAACCATCCATTTTGTGGTACCAAATTTTGACCAGCCATATTAGTGCCATTAAAAAAACATATGCAGCGGGTATGGATTGAGCAGATTGCGAACTTGTGGCAATTTTGTTTGGGAAGACGATGTTCTGAGAAATGGTAAGTGGTCTGTAATATGCCATAGGCCATATGTAGCCGGGGATATTCCATATGTATACATATAATTACATATATACATATATATATTCATATATATATATATTCATATATATATATATATTCATATATATATATATCATATTGGAGTGATGAAGTCCAGCAGGACCATGTTTTTGGCAAAGTCTGGGTTTCACGAGGCATTGCCAATTAAGGTCGCAGCCCCCACTCCAGTCCTGGGTAGTCCAATGTCCACCTGCCAATTCCGGCTGACCCTGCGCCAGACTCGCACCGCAGATCAAGCATGACATGCAGTGCCCTTGGAGTCTTTTCAGCTCCGTGCGAGCTCTGATTGGTTGGTGATTTCATATATGTTTCACAGAACCACAGGACTGCATGTTTCAAACACGGACTTTCCATCCGGTTTGAATGACTATGGTTAGGCTACTTGACCCACCTGGTTCTTGTTTTTTTTTGTTTTTTAAAACGATGTTCAATGATATTTTCCACTTATCTTTGTGGCTAGTCTCCTCATGTCTCGCCCATCAAAGTGGATGGCTGATGGCTCAACCACCGACCAGTTCTGGTCGAAGATCGGATCCGACGGCAAAGATCGAAGCGCCAGCCTGAAAGCGCGGGTGAAACAGCTGGTGAATGGTGGGTGAATGGATTCATTGGTTCATTTCCAGTATACAACTGGAGGAATATACATGAATATACCAGATATTTTGCAATCATTAGTCATTAGTCATTGCAACTAGAGGAATATACCACGTGTCTTGCAATACAAGTTTCTTTGGGTATTAGTGGCTTAGTTATGACGATTGGGAGCCCAAGCAGCGCTCATGTCCATCCATAAGGCCAATCTAATCTAGAGTCACAATGTTGCTGCTGGCAATGACATATCTCAGGCAGATTAATTAGACCTATTTCCATGCAAAGCCTGAAGCCACGCAACCCAGACTTTCCTTTCCGTTGGACATGTGCCTCAAACACCCGGTGCTAAGGGGCCAAAATATGCAGGTCAAGTATTGGCAAACGGATGCAAACGGATTCGACCAATTGGCTTGCATGTCTAGAGAAAAATGGAAACTGGAAGCCTGAAATGTTTTACCTCATTCAACCTCATTCAACCTGGCCCTTGGCAGTGTTAGTGGTGGGTCTTCATCCATTTGTGCAACGGTTACGCCCTGCCAACATGGCGACTGTGGTGCCCATCTCAAAGATCCCTGGCTATGTGTGGAAGGTTGCTCTTTAAGCCAGCTTGGACCGTCCAAAGTGGGTTGACCTAAAGGCTTCAACGACCTGGGGTATCGGGTGTCACGCTGTCACTTGGTGTCTGATTCTGGTCGACCCTGATTACGTTTGGGAAAGACTGTAATGCTAGTAAAGCAATAATAAACCACCCATATTTTGATGGTTTATGTCATCCATTTAAGGTAAAGTTGGGGATGGTTTACTACAGTATTGCTTTATATATATTACATGCATGCATACATACATGCATGCATACATACATACATGCATGCATGCATGCATACATATATATATATATTGCTTTACTAACATTATATATTGTCTTTCAACAGGACAACTTGAGATTGCCTTCGCATTCCAAAAAGTGCTGTAGGCTTGAACCATGGTAAAGGCGGGGTTGTTGAGCTGTTGACTGCTTGCCACATAGTGAAAAAGATGTGAAAACATACATCGTTTACTGGTGGATCTGGTGGATCAACTGAAACTTTCAGGGGATTCATCATGATTCATCACCATGGATATCTATGGATGAAAGAATCCTTGCTTTTTTAGCCAGTCCGCTCGAAGAGATTTCCAGCTGCTCAGTTGACTGAGGAGCCCTCTTCCTTGTGCCACGCAGTCGCAGGGATTGCCCAGAGCGCATGGAATTTTTATTGGGGTCTGTCTGAAAATAGATGAAAATAGGGCATACACCCAAATAGCTACTTTAATGGGGAATATGACTGTCAACCACCCCATTTTGGGGTACCCTATTTTCAGACAAACCCATTTACTGACAGAGATGTGCATTCTGTAGCTGTTTCTATGATAGATATTGGAATGATGTGGCTGGCATGGCATGTAGTTGCATTATGTGGACATTCCACCATTGTACCATGCGTAGATGATATTCCAACACGTTCCGGCCCCCAAGTCATCGACTAAAATCGACCATCTGTGGTGATGCGCAGTCTTGGCTTGGACTATCCAAGGAGTTTTGGAGGCTTCCCAGAATTGATTTAGAGAAATTCTCCAGGAACCCCCACTGAATATATCCAAATATTTGATTGATGGTGGAATGCATGGTTAAATCCCTATAAATATAGTATTTCCTATAGATTTTCCTGCCAAAGTGAGCCGATTGCATCTCGGATAGGCCCTGGTCTTCCTTGGGGGCTTGCCACAAGAGGTGGGTCGATGGTCTTTATCCTCCTTTCTACAGTGTTTGATTATAGTAAGCCCCCCCCCCAAAAATAGTCAAGTCCTCCTAAAAATAGCCATGAAGGCATAAGTCGACTTATGTCAGTTGATTTCGGTGAAGGTTTTTTTCTGATGTGATCCTCTTTGGACGGCAGGGCGGCGACGTTTGCGGCATGGACCACAAAGGTAGCACTTCCATTGGCGCTGCTGTTCCAAGGCTCTGCGAAGTGCTTGCTGTAGAATCCAGGTACTGGAGATGAGATGAAATTGTGACACCAATCATGGATAACTATGGTTAACTATGGTTAACTGTGGATAACTGTGGTTAACTGTGGTTAACTGTGGATAACTGTGGATAAGTGTGGATGACTGTCGATAACTGCGGATAAATGATATAAATGATATAGGCCAAATCATGGGCAAATGAGGAAACAATCAGGTACATGGTACGGCACGGGGTTTTGATGATTGGCTTCATCACCCCACCTCCGCGCCTCTTCGGTCCTCGGGGTCCTCGGTCCTCGGCGCTGGTCAGGCCTCTCTCGTCGTAGCGCCCGGCGCACGGCCGTACGCCATGGACACCATGGACACCACAGCTATGGCAGCGGGGGGATGCTCGATATGCGGTCGTGAAACATGGGGGATTTCAACCAGGAGAGAGGATTTAAGCAGCAACAAACATGTAAAAACTGGGCTTTAGATAAAAGACATGTATGTTTGACACTTTTTTGACTGGATATCTGCAAATGTCGCCGGCTTTTTTATGTGATTTTACAGTTATTCAGCGGACATGGGTTTTGAGATTTGACCGGAAAAAGGTGGGAATGGGGCGGAAGATCAACCAAGAGTAGCAGTTCTATGGTTAACACATACTGTATTGGGTTCTCTCACTGATGGTTGTACCCCAAAGATAGCAGTAAAGCATCAATGTTCAGGAATACACAGAATTGCAAAGTGGGTACAGGACCAGCAGTGCCAACATTTGTGTATGTACGTCCTGAGGGTATCAGGCACAAGATAGTTTCGCACGTTCTGAAATAGACCATGTAGTAGCGAATCTCAGACATTGGGCTGCCTGGTCTCCTTCGGTCCAGTTGATTCAGTAGTGCCTGAGGAACATTCCCCGCACTCTCTATGAATTCCTGGGGGTTTCTTGGTGGCACAGGAAGGTCACAGTCTGCCATGAACCTGCGAGGCTCCCATGTCTGGAAGTCATTGGGGTTTCTTGATGATTATGTGATGTTTTATGTGTTTATCACATTGTTTAGGAAGTTTCGGCTGTTGACCGATGAACCACGAAAGGATGTTTGCAGACTTTGGTTTCATGGTATAGGAAGTTGCCATAATCGCGATGTTTCATGTTCCAGACTTGTTTATACGACTATGGATCTGAAGTGTAGAGTGACATTTTTTACTCAAGCATCATGATCCTCTTTGGGAGGGTGCACTATCAGCAGATGCAAATCGTACAGTTTTACAGGTGGAAAAATGGGATGATCCCAGACTGGTAAAACATTTGTTTCCCGCTGTCACAGCATCAAGCCCTTTTTCGTCGCGACGGATCGGCCATGGTTTCGTGCATGAAGAACTTGAATATCTACTGGTTTCTGGGTGGCAAAAAAGGCAAATAGGGATGGGTCAAACGGTCTTAAAGTTGTCCTGAAGCCCTTGGACGCTACGACATAATGAGGACTAATTTTGATGAATTTTGGGCAGAAAAAACGTGGTTTCCGCCTTGAAATTTAACCTGAGTAGCTGCTTTCAAGTCATCTTGAAGCCAAACATCCACCATTTCACAGAGAATCTACTATAGTGGAAAATGGCTTGTTGTTTTGCATGGTTCACTTGTTTAGAAGGGTGTTCAATGTTTCAAGCAAACTTATTGATGTTTTCCACCGTCTCAGGTGAATTTGATCTGGAGCACTGCCTACAGCACAGTTGTTTCACCTATCTTTATCTATTTTTCACAGCCTTTTTTGGATGCTCAAAACCGATCCATTCGCGTTTTCGCTCGCCTTGAAGAGTTGAAGCCAAGTCCAGCTCAGCATGGACAGCTCTAAAGTACCGCTCTCGGTCAGGGCTTTGGCCTTGGAGCCTCCGAGAGCCTCGCTCTTGATGCGCTTTCCAAATGCACTTCGGCTCGCAGATGATGGTCTTGGTGTTGGATTGGGCGTGCCACGGCGCCGAAAGATCCAAAATGTCGACCATGACTCGGAGATCCCTGTGGGGCCCTCAGGGGTTCCCGGCCAATTCTCCACATCTCGTGCAGAGCTGCAGTAGATTCTGAGCGGAGGTGTGAGGCCAGCGAATGCCATCAAAAAAGGGATGGATCAGATGTGCACCGGATTTCTCTTGGCCCTCTTGCCTGTCTCATTGTAAACTTTGTTGATCTATTTCGATGACATAGATACAACATGATACAACATCGTGGTGCAGATCTTTGAATTGTTGTTTCGCGTGGAGTGTTTGTTGAGGACAGGTTTTTCCCCGGCCAAGTCCTGGACGGCACAGTCTCTGAAACAAGTTGATGTCTGTGCTGTCCCGGATCATTCTTCCATCGATGTGCAGCCCAATAAGACGGGTTTCGTTATCAACACTATGATAGGACACTATGTTCTATCGATATGCAGCCATAAACCCTAAACCCTATTTATAAGACGGGTTTCATGGTTGCGTTATCAGTCCCCATTTTTCTGGAGACCTGAAAGTGATGGCCATGGTGATGATGGGTGTTCAACAACATTCTGGCGGTGCCATTTTTTTTTGATAGAAATGGGATGCTAACCCCCAAGGACCAATATCCTTTCAGATGGGTTGAAACCACCAATCAGATCAATCAGAAAGTATGGGGGACTTTGCGAGATGCCATGGCCAGCCTGGGACTTCACTGGACTTGGCCGGAGTTTGAACGGTCAGCAGTTTGAGCCGAAGTCGACTCACCACAAGACAGCCAGAAGTTGGCAGAATGGAAACCGTGTCTTTCGGCCGTGACTTTGGCACTGTGACAGCATTATATGATTTTATAATATTTTGTATTGGAGATTTCCTGAAATGGGGGTACCCCAATAGTATCCCATGGTATCTTTATAGGAAACCTCCATATGAACTAGAAAATCAGGGGATTTGCGGGGATCCCATATGCTTATAATCAAAGGAAGTTTAGGGGGAGAAACTTCCGTGTTACGGACTTTTAGAATGTCAGGGAAAGAGTTAGTCAAAGAAAGAGTTAGCAAAGAAAGAGTTCGTCAGGGAAAGAGTTAGTGAGGGAAAGAGTTAGTCAAAGAAAGAGTTAGTCAAAGAAACAGTTAGTCAGGGAAAGAGTTAGTCAAAGAAAGAGTTAGTCAGGGAAAATGTCAGGGAAAGAGTTAGTCAAAGAAAGAGTTAGCAAAGAAAGAGTTCGTCAGGGAAAGAGGGAAAGAGTTAGTGAGGGAAAGAGTTAGTCAAAGAAAGAGATAGTGAGGGAAAGAGTTAGTCAAAGAAAGAGTTAGCAAAGAGTTAGTCAGGGAAAGAGTTAGTCAAAGAAAGAGTTAGTGAGGGAAAGAGTTATTCAAAGAAAGAGTTCAAAGAAAGAGTTAGCAAAGAAACAAGTTAGTCAGGGAAAGAGTTAGTCAAAGAAAGAGTTAGTGAGGGAAAGAGTTAGCAAAGAAACTGTTCCCTCACTGTAAATGGGATTGCAAGTGGTGCTGGTGGAGGAGTTGCCGATGGAGTTTTGGAGGAAGTCTCGCACGAAATGCGTTTTTGAGAGATAGCAGATGCACGAAACCCTATGTTTTTCCATACAAAGTCCGTCCCCGAACCTCGATGATCTACCTCTGCGGTGCGACGGTTGCGAGACGGTCTCGTGTGTGGTCGGATCATGCTCGGATCATGGTCGGATATGGTCGGATCGGTTCCGCATTGTAAATGGGGTTTCAACTGTTTTTCGTGCATGTGTGGTCGACAGAATTCCATTGTGATTTGCAACTGTAGGATCGTTCCCGCATTGTAAATGGGGTTGCAAGTGGTGCTGGTGGATGAGTTGCCGATGGAATTCCATTGTGATTTGCAACTCTAGGATCGTTCCCTCACTGTAAATGGGATTGCAAGTGGTGCTGGTGGAGGAGTTGCCGATGGAGTTTTGGAGGAAGTCTCGCACGAAATGCGTTTTTGAGAGATAGCAGATGCACGAAAGCCTATGTTTTTCCATACAAAGTCCGTCCCCGAACCTCGATGATCTACCTCTGCGGTGCGACGGGTGCGAGACGGTCTCGTGTGTGGTCGGATCATGGTCGGATCATGGTCGGATCATCGGTCTCGGATCATGGTCGGATCGGTTCCGCATTGTAAATGGGGTTTCAAGTGTTTTTCGTGCATGCGCGGTCGACAGAATTCCATTGTGATTTGCAACTGTATAGGATCGTTCCCGCATTGTAAATGGGGTTGCAAGTGGTGCTGGTGGATGAGTTGCCGATGGAATTCCATTGTGATTTGCAACTCTAGGATCGTTCCCTCACTGTAAATGGGATTGCAAGTGGTGCTGGTGGAGGAGTTGCCGATGGAGTTTTGAAGGAAGTCTCGCACGAAATGCGTTTTTGAGAGATAGCAGATGCACGAAACCCTATGTTTTTCCATACAAAGTCCGTCCCCGAACCTCGATGATCTACCTCTGCGGTGCGACGGTTGCGAGACGGTCTCGTGTGTGGTCGGATCATTCTCGGATCATGCTCGGATCATGGTCGGATCGGTTCCGCATTGTAAATGGGGTTTCACCTGTTTTTCGTGCATGTGCGGTCGACAGAATTCCATTGTGATTTGCAACTGTAGGATCGTTCCCGCATTGTAAATGGGGTTGCAAGTGGTGCTGGTGGATGAGTTGCCGATGGAATTCCATTGTGATTTGCAACTCTAGGATCGTTCCCTCACTGTAAATGGGATTGCAAGTGGTGCTGGTGGAGGAGTTGCCGATGGAGTTTTGAAGGAAGTCTCGCACGAAATGCGTTTTTTTTCTCCATTTTGGCGCTAGTGATTTTCCATCTAAAAATCCTTTTAAAAAGTGCTTCAAAATCGTCTTTTTTTCGCTCTGGCGTCGAAATCCGGTTTTGGAGCTACAATTTCCGACGACGTTGCGCGTAGTTCTATTGTGCTTTGCAACTCAGTCTCTGCAGATCGCATTGGAATGGCTGCGTCAAGGTTGCTTCTTGCTTTGGCTGTATGAAGGCTGGATCTCGTAAATCGTCTTGGACTGGCTGCATGAAGGCTGCGAAATGGATTTGTTAGCAGATTTTTTCCATTTTGGCGCTAGTGTTTTTTTGTTGCACGTAGGTTTATTAGAGCAGTGTGAAGTGTGGGGCGTGAAGAGTGCAGTGTGAAGTGTGCAGTGTGAAGGAAGCAGTGGGAAGTGAGAAGTGTGAAGTGTGGAGTGTGAAGTTTAAGTTTGGAGTGCGAAGCGCGCAGTGTGAAGTGTGAGGTTTGGAGTGTGAAGGAGGCAGTGGGAAGTGAGAAGTGTGAAGTGTGAAGTGCGAAGTGTGAAGTGTGAAGTGTGAAGTGTGGAGTGTGAAGTTTCAAGTTCGGAGTGCGAAGAGTGCAGTGTGAAGTGTGGAGTGTGAAGACTTTGCTTCGTCTCTCGCTGAAAAAATCAAACGGTTGTCGAGGGAAGGACACGGTCGGGACAGGGCGCCTTTGAACTATAGGTCATTTATGTTTGGGAAACTTCCGCCGCCGGCTTGCCCGGGTCTATGTTAATCTTATAGATGTCACGAGGTCGCCTCTGGTTGGTTGGAAAAACCGACTATCCGTGACTATCCGATGATGCTTGGTGTTATGAAAAATGTCGTATTCCCTGGTTGGTTTCCTGGAGTCCGATTCCAATGGCGCATTTTGTTTGGAATGGATGGGCCATATGCCCAGTGATGGCGCAGGTTGGGAGCCACCAGTCTCTTCGTGTGGTTCTTCTTCATCCATGCCCCGCCAGTGTTGACATAATGAGGACTAATTTTGATGAATTTTGGGCAGAAAAAACGTGGTTTCCGCCTTGAAATTTAACCTGAGTAGCTGCTTTCAAGTCATCTTGAAGCCAAACATCCACCATTTCACAGAGAATCTCCTATTGTGGAAAATGGCTTGTTGTTTTGCATGGTTCACTTGTTTAGAAGGGTTTTCAATGTTTCAAGCAAACTTATTGATGTTTTCCACCGTCTCAGGTGAATTTGATCTGGAGCACTGCCTACAGCACAGTTGTTTCACCTATCTTTATCTATTTTTCACAGCCTTTTTTGGATGCTCAAAACCGATCCATTCGCGTTTTCGCTCGCCTTGAAGAGTTGAAGCCAAGTCCAGCTCAGCATGGACAGCTCTAAAGTACCGCTCTCGGTCAGGGCTTTGGCCTTGGAGCCTCCGAGAGCCTCGCTCTTGATGCGCTTTCCAAATGCACTTCGGCTCGCAGATGATGGTCTTGGTGTTGGATTGGGCGTGCCACGGCGCCGAAAGATCCAAAATGTCGACCATGACTCGGAGATCCCTGTGGGGCCCTCAGGGGTTCCCGGCCAATTCTCCACATCTCGTGCAGAGCTGCAGTAGATTCTGAGCGGAGGTGTGAGGCCAGCGAATGCCATCAAAAAAGGGATGGATCAGATGTGCACCGGATTTCTCTTGGCCCTCTTGCCTGTCTCATTGTAAACTTTGTTGATCTATTTCGATGACATAGATACAACATGATACAACATCGTGGTGCAGATCTTTGAATTGTTGTTTCGCGTGGAGTGTTTGTTGAGGACAGGTTTTTCCCCGGCCAAGTCCTGGACGGCACAGTCTCTGAAACAAGTTGATGTCTGTGCTGTCCCGGATCATTTTTCCATCGATGTGCAGCCACAAACCCAATAAGACGGGTTTCGTTATCAACACTATGATAGGACACTATGTTCTATCGATATGCAGCCATACACCCTATAAGTCGGGTTTCATGGTTGCGTTATCAGTCCCCATTTTCTGATGGCCATGGTGATGATGGGTGTTCAACAACATTCTGGCGGTGCCATTTTTTTTTGATAGAAATGGGATGCTAACCCCCAAGGACCAATATCTTTTCAGATGGGTTGAAACCACCAATCAGAAAGTATGGGGGACTTTGCGAGATGCCATGGCCAGCCTGGGACTTCACTGGACTTGGCCGGAGTTTGAACGGTCAGCAGTTTGAGCCGAGCTCGACTCACCACAAGACAGCCAGAAGTTGGCAGAATGGAAAACATGTCTTTCGGCCGTGACTTTGGCACTGTGACAGCTTTATATGATTTTATAATATTTTGTATTGGAGATTTCCTGAAATGGGGGTACCCCAATAGCTGGATGGTTTCTAACGGAAAAAAACAACACAGTATCCCATGGATGATTTAGGGGTATCCCATGGTATCTTTATAGGAAACCTCCATTTGAACTAGAAAATCAGGGGATTTGCGGGGATCCCATATGCTTATAATAATCTTATAGATGTCATGAGGTCGCCTCTGGTTGGTTGGTTGGTTGGTTGGAAAAAACCGACTATCCGTGACTATCCGATGATGCTTGGTGTTATGAAAAATGTCGTATTCCCTGGTTGGTTTCCTGGAGTCTGATTCCAATGGCGCATTTTGTTTGGAATGGATGGGCCATATGCCCAGTGATGGCGCAGGTTGGGAGCCACCAGTCTCTTCGTGTGGTTCTTCTTCATCCATGCCCCGCCAGTGTTGATCAAGGAGCATGCGCTGCAGCGACCCATTCTGAGTTTTCACCTGTGTGGTGCTCCTTGATGGCAGACTTTACGGAACATATGGAGAGATAACCATCAACAAATGGACGTGATGGGCATGATACATACGCGATGATATATATATATATAATGATATATATATATAACGATATATATATATAATGATATATATATATATAATGATATATAATTATATAATGATATATAATTATATAATGATATATAATTATATATATATATAATATACACACCATATACGTGGTTGGGGATGTTGCGGGTTGCACAAATCTCTTCTTCTCCACAGAAACGGGAGGATGTGGGCTGCCCCATTTTGCTTGTGAATCCAGCGGATTCATGCGAATTCTATGGGCCAAAATGGGGCTAGCAGAGTCTAGCAGAGTCGAGCAGGTTGGAAAGGTTGGTGATGTACCCTCTGGTAATGACTAACATAGCTATTGAGAATGGCCATAGAAATAGTGGATTTTCCCATGAAAAATGGGTGGATCTTTCCATAGCTATGTTAAATAACCAGAGGGTACATTGGAGCTTTGAGGTGCAAAATGAAATGAACGTTTGGCTTGTTTAGCTTGGTTTGTTCCAACTAGGAGTTGCTTGGGTCATCTTGGATCCAAGACAAGGCTGTCGAATGACAATAGATGTACTTGTTTAGCCCTGCCAACCTATGAATGATGCCCATGAGGCTCTCGGGATTTCGCTGGCTTGCGTTCACAATAGCCTCCTGACACCCTCCTTGTTCGATGGACAAGCGCGACCCTTCCACGTCTATGTGGGACGAGTTGGCATGCTTGCAGGCCCTAAAAATGACGGTAGAAGTTAGAAGTGACCCTACGGTGGTCCAGTTGGTGATTCGTTGCCATGTGGGATGGTGGCAGTTTGATCAGCTTCCCTACGGTTTAAAGGGCCATTGGATGCAGTGACTTGTTCAGGCGAAACAGTGTGGCTAGGTTGATTCACCAAGGAGGGCACTTGGGGCCCTGCTTCGGAAAGGCTTCGGGAAACAGCCAACTCCATATTCATCATGCTGCAGAACTTTTGACAACGGGACAGAGTGGAAATTAAATCTGGAGAAATAAAGAGATAGTGTAAAGATACGTAGATGACAAAGGAATTTCGACAGACAAACAGGAAAGAGAAATTACAGGAAATCAAGCGGGAAAAGCCCGACGAAACAAAGGAGGTACATATATATAGATGGGAGAAAGGGCAGTACCTTCACGTGCACTGCAAACTTTGTAAACATATGAGAATTATGAAACAAAACAATAGGTCCAATATGTTCCAATTCCACCTTTTCACTGATTTGATTTTGGTTTACTATGGTTTACATCATTTATCTCCATGAAACCCTGATTTTGGCCATTGTTTTTTTGCCATTGGTTTCCCTAGATTCAGCTTCCAACACCAGGAGTCATCAGCTTCTGCTTTGGCGCCTACGTGGCCTGGTTCCAGCAGGAGGATTTGGGCTTTGCTTCTGCCATCACAATTGGAGGGCTGCTGCAGTTGAACGCCCAACGCTTGGGTTATGCTGCAATCTTAAGAGCCTTGACTCGACAGCAGCGGGGTTGTTTTGATAATTTTTTTGCAGCTTGAAAAAGCTACAAAAGATGCACATTGGGCTTCGTTTGTCTGAAGTGTGAACATCTTGGAATGGGATTTGATGGAAGTCTAGTTCGAGGTGTGTTTGGATTTTTGAAGGGTTTCGCCCTTTCGCAAAGTGGCACGCTGTTTCGCTTCAGTTTGGATTGTGGCAGTCCCGCCACTGGCGATCATGAGAAATTGTTACATTTTGAAGAGTATCTCATTGTATAGCCGAAGAAGCTTGTTTGAAGTCAAAATTCAATCTAGAATATCTATAATGCTGTCTCCATTCTGGAAGCCTTGTCTGCTGTGTGCTGTTGCCAGGCGGTGGTGTAACCACATTTAGAGATGGTATACAATTTCTTGTTGTTATATTACTACGTTATATACGTGGATCTCAACAGCGTTTTAAATACTTGGATCCCAACAGCGTTTTGAAAAATATATATATATATATGTATTTTATATACATATTTTATAATGATATATTCGAAGGAAGTTTAGAAGTCAAACTTCCGACAATATGGACAGATGAAAAGCAGAGTAGGGCAGAGGCAGAGA